TGATGCTCTTCTGCCAGTTCCGCTGTTGAATAAGTTGCTTTTTTTATCCTTGATCTCAAGCTAGAACAGTAAAGCATCGAAACAGAAAGAATTTTGTTTGAAAAATCAGCTTTGCATCCTCGAGAGTTTGGATCCTTCATTGTTGTTTGGCGGATTTTCCTTAGTCACACTCTTGTTCCCACTTCACTATGAATCACGATGATCCGGTTCCGTTCAAGAGTTTTTTCTTTTCGATTTTGACTCTTATCGCAGACGCATTTAGTGACAGCGATTGTACTTTTGCGGAATATGCCAAATTTCTTTCGTGAGATGCGCATTTTTTGACATTGTGACATCATCACTGTTTCCGATTAGGCCATTGTGTTACATACTTGGATATCCTGAAGCACGACAAAAGCGCCCTAGTATAAGATCGAGCGTAAACAGTGGAAAGTGGATTGCACTTGTCTGGTGTATTTAATCTTCATTTGTTCCAATGAAAGTTATTTTTGGAACTTATTTGAGTGAACCTTCAGATTGAGAAATCACTATGTTTTTGTTGCAACAAATCAACAATTCTTTCATTGCAAAATACATAAAATTTAGCTCCATCGGTACAGAGTCGCAATAATACTCCACGAAGCACACCAGCACCTCCTCCAGTTGAGCCGCCAAAGCCGACTCCAACGCGGGTGGTCGATTCGTTTCCAGAATTCAAGGCTGCGCCGGATTACGGTGAGGGCTAGATTTTTCATCTTATAATTTGTTTGCTTAAGACACATGAATTCCCTTGGATGTAAAACGTCGTAAAAAATTGAACTTCAAAGCTACTCCAGTTCTGTAAAATAATATGCTAGAGTTTACAGCTCAGCTAAGTTCGCGGGGAATTGAATCCATAGTTGGTGCAGATAGTGGACTTGCAAAAAGCTACAAAAGGTCATGCTGTACCGTCTTGAGTTATCAATGGAATGTTTTTTGATGTAGTACAAGACCCTTTACATTCGTTGTAACATGAGTGCAAATGATGCTCGCATTCTTTGGAGGGCTGTTGCCTTTGTGGATACTTTCAAATCCGATTGCCTGCTTTTGTAGATGCTTGCTCTTTCGTTGACGATTCCACATCGATTACCACATCCACCGAAGACGAGAATTTTGAGATAGATATCGTTCCAGAAGAGGATGATTTGGACTTGGCAGGTATGTTTTGGTTTCATAGTGATAATTTTGGGGTTCTTACTTACTCCAAACTCAGACATAGCAGAGGACGCAGCGGCTGTTGATGATGCAATCATCAGTGATCGAATATACAAGGTTTTGATGGCTAAACAGGTATGATGCACAAGCTTGGCTTATAGCGCCTGCAAGAACACTGCTTACAGGGAAATATTCTGATAGTAGATCTCGTGACGGTAATCGCAATAGTCAATGTTCACAACAAGAACACATTAGTAGTAGGAAAAGTTGACAAGTGAGTCGATCTCTTTTTTTGTTGTTTCTTGTCTGTTTTATGCTTTTTATTCTAGGGTCTTGGCATCACAAAAATTGAACGTGGCTAGATACGAGGCTTATGAAGATTTTCGTAAAAAAGGTTTAAGCATGGAGAACAAACGTACGCCCGATCCAGAGGTATGATTTGGGTCAAAGATTGGAGCTGTTGAGATCATTTATTTAGGTGATGTTCACTGTCTCTTCGCCTGCGCAAATACCAACAACTCATGTGCAGGTATGCTTAGGGTTATATTCTTGCTGAAACAAAGTTGAATGTCGAAATTACAGATAAATATAAATGGTATAACTGCTCAGTTAGATGACGAGATTGTTTCACATTTGGCAGCTTTTGCTCAAGACGATGAAGTGACGAAAAACAAAGTTCGACTCGCCATAAATATCTCTGATGCGAGCATTGAAATCCAAGTAAGTTCTCGCTCTATATATTTCACTATTCTCTAATAATGGCATATTCAGGATCGCAAAAAGAAGAAACCAATGCGTCTAAAAATTAAGCAGTGCATTGTCGAACAGGAAGAAGACGATAATGATACTTGAGCAGCAGCTTGACTTTCTTAGTATTTTTTCGGGCATTATCTTACAAATTGTTTTTAGAAGCGTTCAGCGTCATATTCCATCCCTTACGTTTAATAACATATTCACTATCGTTACAATAAGTAATAGGGTACATGGAAGCTCAAGGTGGGCCATCTGTGATCTTTGAGTTTAGTATTATGAACTTGGTTTTTTGAATGCGCTTTCTGTAGCGGACGGTTTAGTGTAAAAAAAA